GTATGGATGTGATTCTGCTGCTGACTCCTGAATTTCTCTCTTACGAGGGTCAATAAAGTATCTATCTATTTATGTATCTTTGAAGCATGCACCATCATTCTTGTTAATGCAATTCAGTCACAACCAATACCATCACCGAAATGTCTGTCTTCTTGATGCTTCTGTACATGTAATGAATGGATCAATGCAGCGACAGGTCTCTCAGCCAGAAGAAACACAGCAGACAAAGCAGAGGTAACCAGGATGAGCAATTAGCGGCCTTTATGTGCAGGATACAGCGGTGCTATAAAAAGCCTGAGGGAGAATAACAGCAGAGGTTGCCATAGCGCTGTTGTGCGGACTTTGACCAGAGCAGCTACAGCCTACGAGGAGACGGACCGGTAATCCATCCATCCATCTTCTTCCCCTTAATCCATTTCTGGGTCGGGGGGGTGGCAGTCAGAGCTGCACCCAATTCACTTAGCACCAGCCCCTCACTGATCCTCTGCAGGTGGTGAGTCCACAGGAGGACGGCTGCTCTGCCAGTGACAATACGGCCTTGATTTTTTTTTTTTTCAGCGGGGGCTTCAGGCAATGCAGGGTTAAGTGTCTTGCCCAAGGACACAACGACAGCAGTCATCAGTGGGAGTCGGTGGAGAAGGTCCCGTGGTGGGCTTGAACCCACCAACTGAGCTACTGTCGCCCCTATTATATAAACTGGGACCGGTAATGTTTGAGCCAAAATAACAACACACGGAAATGTCGGTAAAGTCCGAATACAGTGGTTCGTGGTTTATCGCGCGGGTTACGAACTAAAAATTACCCGCGATAAGTGAAATGTTTGAAGTTATGGTGTGTTTTAAGGCTGTAAAACCCTCACCCAGACTGTATACACTTTTCTAACCATCTGAACTTATGACGGCTGAAGTGAGAGAGACCAGAGATATTAAAAGTGTTGGTTGTAGGTCTGAGCGCTGCTGCAGCTGTCAAAAGCCGTGCACACACTGTAAAATGTAGTATTGGGTTCAGTAGGTGCCAATGGAGCTCTACGGGACTGAAGCTGTTTTAGAAAGAATTATTGACAAAGAAAAAAGTCCTGTTGTTTTGCCAGAATTCAGAATTGAAGTGATTAGATTCAACAAAGTCGCCTTATTATTCTACCAGACCAGAGAGAGAGACCAGAGAGAGAGACCAGGGAGAGACCAGAGAGAGAGACCAGGGAAAAAACAGAGAGAGACCAGAGAAAGAACAGAGAGAGAGAGACCAGGGAGAGACCAGGGAGAGACCAGAGAGAGAGACCAGGGAAAAAACAGAGAGAGACCAGAGAAAGAACAGAGAAAGAACAGAGAGAGACCAGAGAAAGAACAGAGAGAGACCAGGGAGAGACCAGAGAAAATACAAGGAGAGACCAGAGAAAGATCAGAGAGTGACCAGAGAGAGACCAGAAAGAGACCAGAGAAAGACAAGAGAGAGACCAGAAAGAGATCAGAGAGAGACCAAAGACTGACCAGAGAGAGAGACCAGAGCGAGAGACCAGAGAGAGACCACAGAGAGATCAGAGAGAGACAGAGAGAGACCAGCAAGAGACCAGAGAGAGACCAGAAAGAGAGACCAGCAAGAAACCAGAGACAGAACAGAGATAGACCAGAGAGTGACCAGAGAGAGAGACCAGCGCGAGAGACCAGGGATCACTGATCAGTCTGAAGACAGAATCCGTGAAGCTGAACGTGGGAGTGATATCAAAACTAGATCTCCTTGTCGTGCCAGTTGCCGGGGAGCTGAGCGTACGCCGCAGCACCCACCGCGAGCCCAAAGCGAGACAAAAAGTGGGAAAATATATTTAAAATGCCACTCTAACAAGGCTCCTGGGACGTCCACTGCCACCGGAACAGCTTGTCTGATCTAAAATGTTTTAAGAGTCCGCGACACACCACTGCACTTACATGCTCTGTCCATATGGTGCGACCAGGAAACCAGGAGACCGTCTGCGCTGGATTTCAGACGCAGAAATGTAGTAAATCAAGTCAAACAAACAAACATGGAGGATCGCGATGAGCTGTGTGAGGTTGTGTGGGATTGAGTGGTTACGATGGCATATGAGAAGACCATATACCATATCTCTCTGGTCTCTCTCTCTGGTCTCTCGCTGGTCTCCCTCTCTGGTCTCTTGATGGTCCCTCTCTCTGGTCTCTTGCTGGTCTTTCTCTCTGGTCTCTCGCTGGCCTCTCTTTGGTCTCTCTTTCTTGTCTCTCTCTGGTCTTTCTATGGTCTCTCTCGCTGGTCTCTTGCTGGTCTCTCTTTCTTGTCTTTCTCTGGTCTCTCTCTGTTCTTTCTCTGGTTTCTCTTTGGTCTCTCTCTCTTGTCTCTCTTTGGTCTCTCTCTCTTGTCTCTCGCTGGTCTCTCGCTGCATGGTCTCTCTCTGGTCTCTCTCTGGTCTCTCTCTGGTCTCTCTCTGGTCTCTCTCTGGTCTCTCTCTGGTCTCTCTCTGGTCTCTCTCTGATCACTATCAATTCTGGGAAAACAACGGGACATTATGATAATGTTAATCAATCATTTTTTTATCTATAGAATGCTCTTCCTACAGTGACATCACACACCGTACCTTCAGGTAAAACACAGGTGATTAAAACACATTAAAACATTAAAATCACACAAGGAATTCAAATAATAAATAATCACAGTGCATTAAAAATAGTAGACGCCTCTCTCACATTTTCAGTGAGAGCAGCATCTCAGAGTCCCAGCAGGAGGCCAGTCCCTGTGCTCCTCAGAGTCCCAGCAGGAGGCCAGTAGTCCCTGTGCTCCTCAGAGTCCCAGCAGGAGGCCAGTCCCTGTGCTCCTCAGAGTCCCAGCAGGAGGCCAGTCCCTGTGCTCCTCAGAGTCCCAGCAGGAGGCCAGTAGTCCCTGTGCTCCTCAGAGTCCCAGCAGGACGCCAGTCCCTGTGCTCCTCAGAGTCCCAGCAGGAGGCTAGTCCCTGTGCTCCTCAGAGTCCCAGCAGGAGGCCAGTCCCTGTGCTCCTCAGAGTCCCAGCAGGAGGCCAGTCCCTGTGCTCCTCAGAGTATTTTGGCGCGAGGCCCTGGAGGATCACTCAGAACGTTCAAAACAACAGAAATGTGCAATGGAGGTATTTTATGTACAATCAAAATGAAAGTTTAAGTTAAAAAGTGACGATAGCAGTGCACGTTTTCAGTCCTAGAGCAGGCCATTAGTGACTTATTGTACAGTCTGACAGCAGGGATGATAATATTTTGCGTTTGTGCTTTATTATTAAACAAGGCATTATAATCATACATAATCACAGTACATTAACAAGAGTGACAATCCTTCAGTTGTATGCAGCTAAATATAATATTAATTCACCTGGATTTGAACATTGTCGTAAAGTAGAAACCTGTCTCACGTTTTCTTGATTTTTGGTTCTGTCGTCAGTGTGTGTGGAGCGAACAGGAATTACTGATTCAACAAAACAGTCAAGCGTTTTGTGTGACCTTGGTTTGTGAAATGCACTTTAGATTAAGATCACTAACTTCATACTTCATGCAGACAGAGGCTACAGCTGGAACGAAATGAAAACAAATGCAAAACATCACATTTTCTGTCGTGTCCAAGTCAACAATAGAAACCTACAGCGTTGAACAGAGTGAGTGAGGTGCGGTTAAAGTGAGGCTCGGAGATTCTAATGAGGTGTTGTGTAGCTGTGCGGAGACGTTGGCTTTTAATGAAGAGGAAGTAATGCCCCCTCGCTGCTGCACAGACCGTTCTGATACCATGATGTGTTTGAGGGAAAGTTCACATGTTCTCCTGGGTTTGGATTATAACGGCCGTGGCTAGAGTTCAAATAGGTTTTTGTTTGGACCAGGGAGAGACCAAAAAGAGAGCGCAGAGAAAAAAGAGAGAGACCGGTGGAAGAACAGAGAGAGACCAGAGAAAGACCAGAGAGATCAGAGAGAGACCAGAGAGAGGACAGGGAGAGACCAGGGAGAGATCAGAGAGAGACCAGAGAGAGGACAGGGAGAGGACAGAGAGACCAGGGAGAGGACAGAGAGAGAGATCAGAGAGAGGACAGAGAGAGATCAGAGAGAGACCAGAGAGAGGACAGGGAGAGACCAGAGAGAGGACAGAGAGAGACCAGAGTGAGGACAGAGAGAGACCAGGGAGAGGACAGAGAGAGAGACCAGAGAGAGGACAGAGAGAGATCAGAGAGAGACCAGAGAGAGGACAGAGAGAGATCAGAGAGAGACCAGAGAGAGGACAGGGAGAGACCAGAGAGAGGACAGAGAGAGATCAGAGAGAGACCAGAGAGAGGACAGAGAGAAACCAGAGAGAGGACAGAGAGAGAGACCAGAGAGAGGACAGAGAGAGACCAGAGAGAGGACAGAGAGAAACCAGAGAGAGGACAGAGAGAGAGACCAGAGAGAGGGCAGAGAGAGACCAGAGAGAGGACAGAGAGAGAGACCAGAGAGAGACCAGAGAGAGGACAGAGAGAGATCAGAGAGAGACCAGAGAGAGGACAGGGAGAGACCAGAGAGAGGACAGAGAGAGACCAGAGAGAGGACAGGGAGAGACCAGAGAGAGGACAGAGAGAGAGACCAGAGAGAGACCAGGGAGACTAGAGACCAGAGAAAGACCAGAGAGAGATCAGAGAGAGACCAGAGCAAGTCCAGAGAGAGACCAGATAGAGACCATGTAGAGACCAGAGAGACCAGAGAGAGAACAGAGAGAGACCATGTAGAGACCAGAGAGAGAACAGAGAGACCATGTAGAGACCAGGAAGAGGCCAGAGAGAGACCAGAGAGTGACAAGAGAGAGATCAGACAGAGACCAGAGAAAGAAGAATCAGAATCAGAATCATTTTTTATTGCCAACGTAAGTAACGGGAGGTCACAGACTTGGAAATTGCTTTGGCTCAGTGCAACAGTCAAAAAGAGATAATAAAAATAAGAATAAAAAACACTTCTAAAGAATAAAAGCCAGAGAGAAAGAGACAAGAATGAGATCAGAGATAGAAATGATGCTTGAAAATGCACACGTTTGTTGCCAGTTACCGCACACCTTCAGCACAACCCGACCCTGGATCCATCGCAGCGTTTCCGAGGCACAATGCGTCTTCTCTTCTGCAGAGCGTCATTAATCTGTGTTTGTCTTTGGGACAGAGGAGCGTGACGCAGCAGGGCCCGGTGCTGCTCTGGACAGGACCGCGATCCCCACAGGGCCCCAGATACTTACGCTCATCAGCAGTTTCTCCAAAGCTTTCTGTTGAGGTGCTTTTGTTGTGGACATAGTTGATGTTTTTTTGTGGTTCTTTATAGGTTCTTAATGTCATCCGTCTGCCGGTGTTACTCCCTGTCAGTGCCGTTGTGTGTCCTCTGCTCTAAAACTGCTGAGCTCTGTTGGAGGGGTTAGACTTTTACAGATTTTTGGGTATTTTATTGTGTTGTTTTAACTTTTATTATATCTTGCTGAAGCGTGAACTGTGAGGCCTGTCTCACTGTGTGTGTGTGTGTGTGTGTGTGTAGAGTTTGTGTAGTTGTTTGAGCGGCAATAGCACTCTCGTCTCTCAGCAATAAGGTCCAGGCTTCGAATCCCGGTCGGAACAGGCCCTTTCTGAGTGGAGTTTGCATGTTCTCCCCGTGCTTGCAAAGGTTTCCTCTGGGTACTCCGGTTTCCCCTACCACTAAACACATGCTCACTAGGTTAAATCATCCAGCTCCGGTAGTCCTGACCAAGCCGAGAATCAACATCTGGAGATGGGTTCCCGGGTGCTGTTACTACGGCGACCACTGCTCCTGACGTAAGCCTTATAGCGGCATCAGGATGGGTCAAATGCAGAGGATTGAATTGTCCTACGGGGATTAAGTGTGTGTGCTCCATCTACTGTCCTATTTGTGAAACGACAAAATGGCCTCACTGTGGGATGAATGATAATAATTATTCTTGCTTCATTATGCTAAAGCTAGACATTGTACACCGCTTTTTATTGCAAAGTTTGAGTTTTTATTGAATGTTATATATCTATTTATGTATTTAATTTGTTTATTTGTTTGGGACAGTACATGTTCATGAACACATCACTCTGGATTGTAGCGTTGGGCTAATTTCCATTCGTTGTCCCACATTCGCACTCACAAACACACACTCATTCACCCTGAACTATTGCTCATGTTTATAGTGGCAGGGGAAACTGGAGTACCTGGAGGAAACCTAAGCAGACACGGGGAGAACATGCAAACTCCACTCAGAAGGATCCTGTTCCGACCGGGATTCGAACCCGTTCTCTTCATCCATAATCCCAATCAGCGTTCACCGAGCTATTCAAACTGTTTTGGGGTATGCAGTTAGCCATGACGGGTTAGCGTAGCATGACGGGTTAGCGTAGCATGACGGGTTAGCGTAGCATGACGGGTTAGCGTAGCATGACAGGTTAGCGTAGCAACAGCGCTATCGTCCCGAGGTAAATGTGTGACTTTATTCTCCTTGTGGGAAATAGAAAGGAGTGTGTGTCCTCTGTGTGTGTCCGCTGTGTATGTCTGCAGTGTGTCCCCGCTGTGTGTGTCTGCAGTGTGTGTCCGCAGTGTGTGTCTGCAGTGTGTCTCCGCTGTGTGTGTCTGCAGTGTGTGTCCGCAGTGTGTGTCTGCAGTGTGTCCCCGCTGTGTGTGTCTGCAGTGTGTGTCCGCTGTGTGTGTCTGCAGTGTGTCCCCGCTGTTTGTGTCTGCAGTGTGTGTCCGCTGTGTGTGTCTGCAGTGTGTGTCCGCTGTGTGTGTCTGCAGTGTGTGTCAGTGTGTGTCCGCTGTGTGTGTCCGCAGTGTGTGTCCGCTGTGTGTGTCCGCTGTGAGTGCCCGTTGTGTGTGTCCGCTGTGTGTGTCTGCAGTGTATGTCTGTAATGTGTGCCCGCTTTGTGTGTCCGCTGTGTGTGTCTGCAGTGTATGTCTGTAGTGTGTGTCCGCTGTGTGTGTCTGTAGTGTATGTCTGTAGTGTGTGCCCGCTGTGTGTGTCCGCTGTGTGTGTCTGCAGTGTGTGTCCGCTGTGTGTGTCCGCTGTGTGTGTCTGTAGTGTGTGCCCGCTGTGTGTGTTTGCAGTGTATGTCTGTAGTGTGTGTCCGCAGTGTGTGTCCGCTGTGTGTGTCCGCAGTGTGTGTCCGCTGTGTGTGTCCGCAGTGCAGCGCCCTGACGATCCATCTCCAGTTTAAAGGTCACAGATTATGCACGACCGACTGCTCGGGCTTTGAACCCTGTTATAATAATATGTAACAGCCTGTTCTTTGAATGTCTTGAATAAGTGTTCGGATGGTTTCATTTGCACAAAATTATATCTCCGTGTTTAGAAAATGCGTCAAAATGTTGTATTCCTGAAGCTACAATCCAAATGTTTTGTTATTGGCAATCAATTTGAAAAAAGATTCTCAAAAAGGGTTGAAACTTTATGAAGTATGGCACAACAAGTATGCCGAGTAGAGTAGGGTCGAGAAGAGTAGAGCCGAGTAGAGTAGAGGTATAGGTGCACTTTATTAATCCCCGTAGGGCAATTCAATCCTCTGCATTTGACCCATCCTGATGTCGCGAAGGCTGACGTGAGTGGTCGCCGTAGTAACAGTGCCCGGGAACCCATCTCCAGATGATGCTCGGCTTGGTCAGGACCACAGGAGCTGGAGGATTTAACCTAGTGAGCATATTTTAAGTGGTAGAGGAAACCAGAGTACCCGTAGGAAACCTACGCAGGCGAGGGGAGAACATGCAAACTCCACTCAGAAAGACCCTGTTCCGACCGGGATTTGAACCCAGGACTTTCTTGCTGGGAGCCGAGAGTGCTATCCACTCAGCCACCGTGCTGAGTAGTGCCAAGTAGAGCAGAGCAGAGCAGAGCAGAGTAGAATAGAGTCAAGTAGTAGAACCGAGTAGAGTAGAGTAGAGACTAGGAGAGCAGAGTAGAGTAAAGTGTGCGAGTACCGAGAAAAACAGTCTCTCTTTCTCTGCAGCCGCCTGTATGAAATGTGTCATGTAAATGTCCAATCTGCATTCATCTCAGTGACTGTCATTGACCGGTGATTTCTGTCTGACTTCCCTCTACTCGACGAGCGATGACAGGAGAAAAAAAAAACTTATTCTTGCTGATGAAAGTAGACAATCCAGTTTTTCAGAATCTGGTTTCATATTTCACATAGTCATAGGACGTCATATTCTGTGGGTCTTGAAAATCAGTGAAATAATCAGAAACGAGCTGGCCGTCAATGGGTTAAGTTTATTTGGGGAAATGTCAGTGTTGCATCGCCACTTGCAGAACAGTAGCCAAACGAGCCATACTTGCGTGCGAAAAAGCCAGATTCCGTCAGAACTATGAAGCTAAGTAGGGCAGGACCTGGTTAGTACTGTGATGGGAGACCTCTGAGAACAACAGGTGCCACAGTGGGGCGGCTGCAGCTGTAAAGTGCTAAACTGTTGTAGTCTCCTTAGGCAAGACACTTCCCCCACATTGGAATAAGTCTGGTGTGTGTGAATGGTTGGTGGTGGTGGGAGGGGCTGATGGCACATACTGGTTGCCTCGCTTCTGTCAGTGTGCCTCAGGGCAGCTGTGGCTAAAAAAAAACAATGCATTTTTATTATTAGGAGCACACAGCAAAAGAAAAGTAAACAATAACTCTGTATTAAAATAAAATAAAACCTCTAGCGTTAGCATAATAAAGAAATAACATTGGTGTAAGATCTGACTGTGAATCTACAGCCTTGTGCGTTTGTGTGTTTTCCCCTCGCACTCGCTCTGTTTGTTTTGATAAGACCAGATAGAGCTGTCCCGGTCCTCTCCACTTTGGGGAGATAACACCAGACTGTGTGTGTCTCTGTAAACTATAGTAGGAGCCTTCACGCTTGGGATGTCGTGCGGGAAAGAGCAAAGTAAGGCCATTAATTGAAAGTGTATCATGAAACAGCTCCTGATAAAAGTAAATTATGCAATTATTTAAAATGGCCGCAAGTGAAGAAACTTTTCTTTCTCGTTACTTTGGTCACTCTTTCTCGAAATCCTCCTTACACCCAGCAGCTAAAGGATCTGCGGATCTATTCATATGATAATAAGCCATATTTTATGGCCGAGGACGATGACGCAGAGTACAGAGGAGTTATACAGGACTTTGTGGACTGGTGTCAGCGGAACCACCTCCTCATCAACGCGGGGAAGACCAAGGAGATGGTGGTGGATTTCCGTAGACGCCACTCTGCCGCTCCAGCCCCAGTGAACATCCAGGGAAAGGGAATTGAGAGAGTACCTGGGTGTTCATTTGAATCACAAACTGGACTGGACTCATAACACAGACGCCCTCTTCAAGAAGGGCCAGAGTCGCCTCTACCTACTGAGGAGGCTTAGGTCTTTTGGAGTGCAGGGGCCACTCCTGAAGATCTTCTATGACTCTGTGGTGGCATCAGCCATCTTGTATCCATCACAGAGAGGGACAGGAAGAAGCTGGACAAGGTCATCAGGAAGTCCAGCTCAGTCCTGGGCTGTTCCCTGGACACAGTGCAGCAGGTGGGGGACAGGAGGGTCCTGAGCAAACTAACATCTATGCTGGACCATGACTGTGACCCCCTGCAGGACACTCTCTCTGCTCTGGAGAGCAGCTTCAGTGACAGACTGCTCCACCCTCGCTGTGTGAAGGAGAGGTTTCGCAGGTCTTTCCTCCCTGCTGCTGTCAGACTGTACAACGAGAATGTGTAACAGGAACTGCTGAGTCTGCACAAGTGTCACTGATAATTCACTAGTAACTTTGTCACTAGTCACTTTACCTGTTATCAGTACTACATACCTGATATTTACTGTTTTCAGTACTACTGTATTATTTCATATCTGATAATTCTGCCTTTCACCGTCACTTTACCTGTTGATATCTTACTGTATTATTCATATCCTGAGGTTTATTCTGCTCATATTCATATTCTCATATTCTCTGCTGCTAATGTATAATATAGACATCTGTAAATACTCCGAACCAAGTGCAATTATAGCCCAGAGTTTATCTTATTTCATTTTATCTTAAATTTATTGTCTATTATCTTAAATAATAGACTTTGATGTGTGCAATCTGAGTGCTCTCATTTCCTTTCTCTGCTGTAATGTACGCAACGATGACACTGAAATTTCTCCACTGTGAGACTAATAAAGGTTTATCTTATCTTATCTTATATTATTTTAGGAATATAGTGGTGGTTTTTGGGGGAGGTTGCGTTCACAAAATAACCTGAAATGAAAGCAAAATTCTTGAAGTAGCAGCTGTAGGTTTTCAGGTTGTAAAACCCCTCACACACTTTATACACTTTTCTAACCACCTGAACCTGTTGGGAGTTGGTCTGAGCGCTGCTGCAGCTGTCGAAAGCCGTGCGTAGGGCAGGAGCTTAGGTCGTATGATAGGAGTGGACTGACTACAGTTTTAGCCTTACTGTTTTAGCTTCTTATTTTTAAGATAATATAAACTTTATTGATCTTACAATTGAGAAATGTACAACTGTTACGGGCATTTGTCTCACACTCCACACATGGGAGTGAGGTCGCCATACAGGAGGCACAGGAGGCACATGCCAGGCCTATTATTATGATTTTAGTGGTAGGGAAAACCGGAGCACCCGGAGGAAACCTATGCACACACAGGGAGAACATGCAAACTCCACACAGAAAGGCCTGATGGTGGAATTGAACCCAGGACCTTCTTTCTTTTCTTTTCCTTATATGGGCATTTGTTCCAAGGGTGTTAGCTTCCCACCATAACAGAGGCCGACGTGTTGCTAAGACGATTACTAAGGCAAATTTGAGTTTCCCCTGTGGATGAATGCATCTGATTGGTCAATCCTTGTATGGCTTATATCTGGATTAGTCAAGACAATATGAAAATAAAAGCCAGGAGTAACAGAGAGTGCTAAACTATGGATGTTTTAAGCTCAAAATGCTGAGTGTGACACAAACGGTTACTGAGCTGGAGGAGTTAACTTTTTTTGAGAGAGTTGGAGCAAAGGTTTGTCCATGAGCACTTCCCTTTTGCGTGTCATCGAGCTAGCAAGTTAGCATCTTAGACTGTATACAGCATCTGTATACAGTCTATGAGCAGGAGAAGGACCGAGCGCTTTAGGAAGACCGTGGTCGTCCTGTGAACTGCTCATAATACTTTTTGTATGAGTCATGTAGAAAAATAAAAGCGGTTTTGTTTTTAGATTCATGTTTAAAATCTCTCTCTCTTCATTTTTTCTGCAGGGGTACAATTTCAAGACGAGGGGAGAGCGAGTGGAGATGATGCCCGTGTCCAGTTAGGCCTCCACAGCGCCCCCTGGCCCCTGGACCCCCTCCTTCACACATGCGGACAAGAAGATGACTATCACCAGCCGCCAGTCCTTCAATGTCCTGACGGTCATTTTCCTCCTGCTCTCCACTGCAGGTACAGAGGCACCATGGACTTGTTCAATGTTTAGCCAGATCCCGCCAGACCTCTGAAGCTGAGCAGGTCTCCCATCACAGTACATCACAGGTCCGGTCAGGTCATTTACTCACATCAAAGGGCTGCAGCAGGTGCGAGGGCTGGCAATGAGCAGCTGCAGAAACTGATTGGCCGGACGGGAAGACAGTGACCCAATCGCGGAGCAGGACTGTGGACCTGCCAGATAGAGCGCGAAACAGCAGCGCACAACACAGGAGGGAGGGAAGCGGGAATAGAGCAGAGTAAAGTAGAGTAGGGCTGAGTAGAATTGAGCAGAGTAGAGCCAAGTAGAGTAGTGTAGAGCCGCGAAGAGTAGAGTAGAGTAGAGCCAAGTAGAGTAGAGTAGAGCCGAGCAGAGTAGAGTAGTTTTTAATCAACCGACATACAAATATACAGTCAATACATTTATATATAGAGGCCTTAGTAAACATCTTATTCCAATGTGGATTATTTTGTTGATTATTTTTGGAATGAAAGTTTGTGGGCGAAATGCACTCTATATAAGCACTTTAAGGCAAGACGATTGTGGGAAATATAAAGATACGCTAAAAATAAGTATAGGAGACTGAACTGATCCAAATCCAAAGCCCATACGAGACCTGGGATGACGACAATGGTTGGTCAGACTCGTCTCTGTCTTGGCACCGATCTGCCGGAGAGACATTTATTCTAACTTAACTCATTGACTGCCATTGACGTATTTGTCTGAAACCTGTGATTTCTGTCAAACTTCCCTGAATTCAACTGGGGATTACAGGAGAACAAAACAAGCTACATAGAAACCAACATATTTTTGCTGATGAAGCAATGACAGTCCAATATTTCAGAATCTGTTTTCATATTTCACACAGTCATAGCACACAATATTCTGTGGGTCTTGAAAGTCAGTGAAATTCTCAAACGGCTGTCAGTCATTGAGTTACTAGAAAACCCGGGACCCTTTTTGCTTGTAGAAGGAGAGTCTGGATCAACTTCATGGTCCATGTTTTCGTTTATGTCAAGACCCGGACGTGTAGCAGAAGTAGAAGACATCTCCATTAACGTCACTCAAAGATCCTCCTACAAATGTTATTTCTTGACTTGGTTATTATCTTGACGTTTCGACGGCAAATGTTATATCGTCGCTGTTTGGTATAGAAAAAACACATTACTTAATCTACCAAGCCACTGGGCAATTTCGGTGAATCAGAGCAACAATCTTGCAGCTCCAACACTTTTATCCCAGTGCAATCATTCTGCACTTAAACATTTACTCACAGATAAGTCGCGGTTTGATACAGTTGAAACCAATGCACAGCTACACTTCATATAGGTCACGTCTGCACACAAGGAGTCACTTGCTGCAGTGGACGATAGACCACGTTAAGTCCCAGAGGAGCCGTGCAGACCGGAGCGGAGATAGATCACATCTGACAGGCCGAACAAGTCCAAGCTCCTTTCTCTGGGGATACAAGTGTACTTAATGGCAAAGGAGAGTATTTGGGGAGATCAGCCCAGTTCCCCGGGGAGAGTACACGGAATGAGGTTTGAACAGACCTAGCGCAAGACTGGGGGCTGTTGTGTGGGTTATAAGTTATAGCGAAGGAGTTTAAGAAGGTCCAGGAAGATGATTCACCTCCGGTACTTGTCTTTATGTGTGCAGCACTTTGGACAGACAATGCTTCAAAGTGCTGCACAGTCAGCATAAAAGAATACAGGGACATAAACACAGTTATTATGTATGTGAAATATGTATCAACAATACAGGGAAATACGGAAGACCAGAGAGAGAGAGAGACTAGAGGGAGACCGGAGAGAGACCAGTTAGATACCAGAGAGTGATCTGAGACACCAGAGAGAGAGACGAGTTAGAGACCAAAAAGAGACCAGAGAGTGATCTGAGAGAGACCAGTTAGAGACCAGAGCGAGATGAGTTGGAGACCAGAAAGAAATACACGAGAGACGGACCAGAGAGAGACCAAAGAGAGAGACCAGAAAGAAAGACACGAGAGAGAGAGAGACCAAAGAGAGAGACCAGTTAGAGACCAAAGAGAGAGACCGGAGAGAGACCAGAGAGAGACCAGTTTGAGACCAAAGAGAGAGACCAGAGATAGAGACCAGAGATAGAGACCAGAGAGAGAGACCAGAGAGAGAGACCAGAGAGAGAGACCAGAGAGAGAGACCAGAGAGAGAGACCAGAGAGAGAGACCAGAGAGAGAGACCAGAGAGAGACCAGAGAGAGAGACCAGAGATATCGAGGGGCAGATGTGTTGCAAAGACGGGTGTATTGTAAGCTTTAGTTCCTCCAGCGAACAAAGGCATCTATATACAGTCTATGCATTTAAAACAGTTTAAAAATGTGTTTTGGTCAATAAAAATGAGATCCAAGGACAAGGAAGGAGGATAATATCGAGTTCCATGTTCTGAGACCTATGATTGCTGGACAGATTTTTCGTCCTGGGAACAAATGCGTCTGGTCCCAAACCCCTTCCGCTTTCACGTGTGTCGGAAAGTCAGGGGTCTGGCTGGTTTCACATTTACAGACTGTGTGTGTGTGTGTGTGTGTGTGTGTGTGTGTGTGTGTGTGTGTGTGTGTGTGTGAATACCATTCCCTCAATCACTGTAGTCCAAACATGTTATTTCAATATCAAATTATGTCACATTTATTTATAAGCGCTGCGTTTCCTCCGATCACTCGCAGAGGTCATTGCACAGACCTCGTGTGGGAATGATTTTCTATCTTTCATGCAAAGCTCCGGTAACACGGCCTGACTCTGTGGTTACAGTTTAACACATGGATGATCAAAGGGCCGTGCCTCCATAATGCCATAATTAGCAAGAGAAATTATGGATGAGCACACGCGAGCACATTGTACATGTTGAAAGGCTTTTACTCGCACTGAACGCTCAATGACCCTATAGACCAGGGGTGTCAAACCGCTCCTCAAAGGGCCTGGCTGCGGGTTTTTATTCCAACCAACCAAGCAGGAGCATACACAGACTCCAAACGTTTCATCAAGTCTTCTGGTTAAGACTGGACTTGATTGAGAAAAGGGCTGGAGTCTGCTGTGCTCCTACTTGGTTGGAATTAAAACCTGCAGCTACAATAGCCATTTGAGGACCAGTTTGACACTGCTGCTATAAACTATATACAGATGGACAATGCTAACATAGACTGTATACAGATGGACAATGCTAACATAGACTGTATACAGATGGACAATGCTAACATAGACTGTATACAGATGGACAATGCTAACATAGACTGTATACAGATGGACAATGCTAACATAGACTGTATACAGATGGACAATGCTAACATAGACTGTATACAGATGGACAATGCTAACATAGACTGTCTTCCCCAATTGGCTCTAGCTAGCTTCAAGTCAATTAAGTTCAGTTTATGTTTGTATAGCATGGCTTACACAGTAGTTATCTCTGAGGACTTTTCAAAGCTGTCGATTCGCCAACACAGATCAGAGAATCAAACACATAGAGCCATTGGTCCATAAGGGGCAGATGACCAATATCCATAAACATCCCATTGCACAATTTCCTTCGGGATCAATAAAGTATATATCTATCTAGCTATCTAAATGTGTCCTTGATCCTCACCACTGTTTCTGTAGACCGTCCTTCATCGGCAAGGAAAAAACCAGTGGTAGAAAAGTTAAACCCCTTGGGGAGGCCCACATCGAGGGAGATGGACGGACGGAGCTGTAGACCAAGGACTCAGGCCGTGGCTCATGTTCAAATCAGCTTCTTCTGCATTAAGTCTGACACTATGGTGATGTCACACTCGATCAGTCGTCTCCTAATACACTATCTAATGATGACCCCCATTACACGAACAAAGCCTTAATATTTCATGAACTAAATGAGACGTCTGTTTAAGAAGGTCAAATTGGTCGTATCCGCTTATCCGCTGAGTTAATTCCCCGCGGTCCTGCCTGGCGGCTCGTGGCTGCTCTTGTCAAAGCCAAAATGGCGGACGGTTGCATCTCATTATGGGTTGAAATAGCGGCGTCTCTGATCTCGTGCTGATGTCGCCGGCCGCGGTGAAAGACGTGAGAGATCTATTGTTCTAGCCCCGGCGTCACAAGTGGACCTTGAAATGAAAGGCGGCCCAAAAGCTTTACTGACGAACGTGGATGAAAGCAGATGAAATGAATTAGAGCCACTAAAGGGAGATGGAAGGAGCGGTACAAAGTGAGGATGATAAGCAACATAAACCAGATCACAGGACTGCTGGAATATTAATTCAATTCAACGTTTTTTGGTGTAGCCCGAAATCACAACTGTCGTTTTCTCAGAGGACTTCACAAAACCTTTGATTTCGCCAACACTCTAGCCTGATTGGGAGCATTTCCACCGGCCCAGTACAACCGGTACCAGGTGTTATGGGTTCCACGTCTCTTGGTTTTTGTCTTTACCCCCAGTTTGGGTAGAATTTATATGTTTACTGTGGATTTTGCTTTTATTTTTACTTTGACTAAATCTTTTTTTGTTTGCGTTTTGGATTTGTTTCATTTTACCACATGACATCTGGTACTCAATTAGTACCAGGCCTGGTTCTGTTCAGGCCGAGCTGGTGCTACTTGAAGCCATGGTAACTTAGGAATTTCCCAGCATACAGTTTTGTTGTGGGTAGGTTGCTAAGATAAGAAGAGAACCTTTATTCTGCCCTTTTGACTCTGAATTATTAATTTAGAGAGCAGTATTTGTGCACTTTATTGTTCTTAGGTAAGTCTTTCTGAATGAACAATACAACAATCTTTTTATAAATATTTTTGCCTTTAGCTGCTATGTTTCTTAGCTAGCTTAAAATAAGATAAAGCACTCGATACTAAAGCGAAATAGAAACTCAACCAGGTAGAGTAGAGCCGAGTAGAGACCAAGTATAGGGCTAGTGGACACTATAGGCTTAAAGGTACATGGGAGGAGGTTCTTCTTCAGGGTGGATCATCTAAACTATTGGTCCTCCTAATTGTCAGTCATTCTGGGTATGTGCGAGACAAGTTTTAAAAGGCGTTCCATCTGAAGAGGGCGGTTCATTCTTAAACTTCGGGGAATTCCTCCTATGTACCTTTAGTGTCACTTATCTGTTATTCCAAAGTCCCATATAGTTCTGTAGTCCCAGCCGCTGCAGGGGAGAATAACCATGCATCTTGTATCCGAGTCTTTGAAAAGCATTGATTTTGGTTTCTCTGTGATCAAAAATGTAGAGACAGATACTGTTTGTTTACTCGGCACTTTCTCTAAGAGTCTACTTTGTATTATCAGCGTTTATTCAGTGGCAGGTTTGTCTGTGATGCTCCATATGCACTTTCTCCCGATTCTCACTGCTTTTACATTAAAATAACATGAATTTTGTCTGAACACAGCTCTCTGGAGACAACGAAGAAGTGCAAAGAGAAGCATTTTCATTCTGCGGTAGCTTTAGGTTAAAGGGAAGGGTATTTTTTACCCTTGTCTAGCAGCTTTGCTCAGCCTTCAAAGTCTCTTGAAGTTAAATGTGCTTTTACCAAATGTACACAGGAGTTATCTGGCTCACATGTTCAGCCGGTGTCTCGTTCACGTTTCGCGGCCTAGCAATTTTGTGTTTTATTGTGTCCTAATCCCCTACGGCCCTGTTAGACTTAATTGTGTATGCTTTTTCTCCTTACGTGTCACGTGTGTACTCCCAGCAACATTATAAAACCGCTAGTATAACATGACAGTTACCTTTATTTAAAGTCAGGGCGGCTGAATGAATAGCACTCTCGCCTATCAGCAAGAAGGTCCTGGGTTCGAATCCTGGTCGAACAGGGTCTTTCTGAGTGGAGTTTCCTCCGGGTGCTCTGGTTTCCCCTACCACTAAAAATATGCTCACTGGGTAAAATCCTCCAGCTCTGGTAGTCCTGACCAGGCCGAGCATCAACGTCTGGAGATGGGTTCCCGGGCGCTGTTACTACGGCGACCACCACGTAAGCCTTTGCGGCATCAGGATGGGTCAAATGCAGAGGATATAATTGCCCTACTGGGATCAATAAAGTGCACATTTACATTAAAAACTTTTTTGGCTTGTGTGAACCGCTGTCATTAGTTCAGACAACTACTGTGATCTTCCCAAAATTCTATGTCCTGCTCCTTCCCCTCAGTGTCCTCTGCAGCTGTTTTTTTACAGTGTATGCACAGCTTTTGACAGCTGCAGCAGCGCTCAGACCTACAACCAACAGGTTTGCCGTATGTTCAGGTGGTTAGAAAAGTGTATAAAGTGAATGAGGGGTTTTATAGACTTAAAACATAGAGCTGCAACTTCAAGGTTTTAGATTTTTGCAGGTTATTTTCAGAACGTGACCCAGGGATAAGCGAGGGACCCCTGTGTATTATTAAGACCTTGTTTACTGTATCCATGTGTTTCAGAGCCATTTAACAGGGAATTGTTCCAGTTACATAAAAAATATCCAATAATTTTATCAAAATGAAAACCAATGAGTGAATTGTTAAAGGCTGTAGTTTGACAAACAACTTCTGGGTCCAAAGGTGTGTGCGTGAATGGTTAGTGAGGGTTACTGATGGTGGGTGATGGTTTGTGGTGGTTGGTCATGGTTGGTGATGTGGGCGATGATTGGTCATGGTTTGTAATGGTTGGTCATGGTTGGCGATTGTTGGTGATGGTGGGTGATTGTTGGTCATGGTTGGTGATGGTGGGTGATTGTTGGTCATGGTTGGTGATGGTGGGTGATTGTTGGTCATGGTTGGACATGGTTGGCGATTGTTGGTGATAGTGGGTGATTGTTGGTGATTGTTGGTCATGGTTGGACATGGTTGGCGATTGTTGGTGATATTGTTGGTCATGGTTGGTCATGGTTGGTGATTGTTGGTAATGGTGGGTGATGGTTGGACATGGTTGGCGATTGTTGGTGATGGTGGGTGATTGTTGGTGATTGTTGGTCATGGTTGGTCATGGTTGGTGATTGTTGGTAATGGTGGGTGATGGTTGGACATGGTTGGCGATTGTTGGGTGATTGTTGGTCATGGTTGGTGATTGTTGGTGATGGTTGGTGATGGTTGGTCATGGTTGGTGATTGTTGGTGATGGTGGGTGATTGTTGGTGATTGTTGGTCATGGTTGGTCATGGTTGGTGATTGTTGGTAATGGTGGGTGATGGTTGGACATGGTTGGCGATTGTTGGGTGATTGTTGGTCATGGTTGGTGATTGTTGGTGATGGTTGGTGATGGTTGGTCATGGTTGGTGATTGTTGGTGATGGTTGGTGATTGTTGGTCATGGTTGGTGATTGTTGGTCATGGTTGGTGATTGTTGGTGATGGTTGGTCATGGTCGGTCATGGTTGGTGATTGTTGGTAATGGTGGGTGATAGTTGGACATGGTTGGCGATTGTTGGGTGATTGTTGGTCATGGTTGGTGATTGTTGGTAATGGTTGGTCATGGAGGGTGATGGTTGGTCATGGTCGATCCTGGTTGATCATGGTTAGAGGGTTAGGGCTAGGGAAACATGGCTACACATACACCCCTGTGTATGGAGTCAATAAATATTAACATGAAGCTTCTTTGAGCGACCAAAAAGGCTCTATATACTTCATAAAGTAAAGTTTATTTATATAGCGCCTTTCACAGACTAGGATCACAAAGCGCTTCACAATTAAAATATACAGTCAAAATAGTACACACACAAGTCAGTTGCAAATAAACAAATTATTATTATTCAAGAATTGGACTTGGTTTTTCTTCACTATCCAAACCTGGGCCCGCTACTGTTCTGTGCCTTTAGAGGGTCTTTCTGTATGTGTAAACTAATGCAGTGTGAGAACGTGAAGGACCTATTTGCTGGTACGTGTTGTCCTCTGTCAGGTCTCAAAGTGAAACATACTGGAGCCCTATTGTCTATAAACTGTATTTTATACTCTTAAAGCTGGGGTACCTAGCTTTGTAGTGACCTGCTGGCTCATATGGTCATCACTGAACTCAAGGGAGTTTAAATTGTTGTTTTAAATTGCCTTTTGTGTGTGTTTATATTGTGTTTTTTTATTTACCGATTGTAAATTTTGTTAATGTGAAGCACTTTAAGCTACAATTTCACTGTTTTTATACAAATAAAATTAATTATTCACATTACTTTAAAACATGTTGGTTCTATTACTAGTTTTTACTTCCGTGTGTATGTATTTGTAGATGTACTTTTTGTATTGCCCTAAATCACAACAGCAGTCGTTTTGGAGGACTTTACAAAGTTGTCGATTCGCCAACAACAGATTGAAAGAATCAAACAGTTCGAACACAGAAAATACGATAACAACAAACACATAGGAGCCATTGGTCTATTGGGAGCGGGATGACCACTGTCATAAATGTTAATTACCCTCCTACATCAGCAAGAAACCTCTTTGGATCAGGCCGCTGCTCTCTCTGGTTTCTCTCTGGTCTCTTTCTGGTTTCTCTCTCTGGTCTCTTTCTGGTTTCTCTCTCTGGTCTCTTTCTGGTTTCTCGCTCTGGTCTCTGTCTAGTCTCTCTCTGTCTGTCTCTGGTGTATCTATGACATCTAGTCTCTCTGGTCTCTCTCTTGTCTCTCTCTCTTTGTTGTCTCTCTGGTCCATCTCTGGTCTCTCTCTTGTCTCTCTCTCTCTGGTCTCTTTCTGGTTTCTCGCTCTGGTCCCTCTGTCTGGTTTCTCTCTTTGGTCAATCTTGTCTTTCTTTCTAGTCTCACTGATCTCACTCTCTCTGGCCCCTCTCTTGTCTCTCTCACATTTGCAAAACATAATATAATTTGCTAAAAAGACTAAGACAGTATGTTGTGGTCCCTTCCTCTTGGTAAAACAAATGTATTTTTCAACACTCTCTCTCGCTCTCTCTCTCTCTGTTGCAGCTTTATCGGCCCATTTCCGCGTGTGTGAACCCTACTCCGACCACAAGGGGCGCTATCACTTCGGCTTCCACTGCCCGCGGCTCTCGGACAACAAGACATACATGTTCTGTTGCCATCACAACAACACGGCCTTCAAGTACTGCTGCAATGAGACAGAGTTCCAGATGATCATGCAGGTCAACCTCACCACCACCTCCGACGGATACGGCCACAAGTGAGCATTGTGGGATGTAATGGGATGTTATGGGAGACCAAAACATGTGGCACTAAAAACATATTTACCAAAATTCTCAGATTATTAGTCTCTACTTATGTCCCGGGCTTCGAATCCCCCCGTTTAGAAAAAAGCGTCTATTTTAAGTATGGTTTGTGCTGAAGGTTGCCCCCTGCTAGATGCTCTCTGGTCTTTGTGATGTCTCTATGGTCTCTCTCTAGTCTCTCTCTCTCTCTCTGATCTCTCTGGCTGATCTGGCTATCTCCGGTCTCTCTCTATGGTCTCTCCCTCCCAGGTCTCCCTCTCTGATCACTCTCGCTGGTCGCTCTCTCTCTCTGGTATCGCTCTTTGGTCTCTGTCGCTGGTCTCTCTCTCTGGTCTCTTTCTGATCTCTCTCGCTGGTCCCTCTCTCTCTCTCTGGTCTCTCTGTCTGATCTCTCTCACTTGACCCTCTCTCTCTCTCTGGTCTCTCTCTTTCTCTCTCTGGCCTCTCTCAGATCTCTCTCGCTGGTCCCTCTCTCTCTCTGGTCTCTCTCTCTCTGGTCTCTCTCTCTCTCTGATCTCTCTCGCTGGTCCCTCTCTTTCTCTGGTCTCTCTCTCTCTCTCTCTCGGATCTCTCTCGCTGGTCCCTCTCTCTATCTCTAGTCTCTCTCTCTCTCTGATCTCTCTCCCTGGTCCCTCTCCCTCTCTGATCTCTCTCTCTCTGGTCTCTCTCTCTTGTCTCTCTCTCTCGCTGGTCCCTCTCTCTCTCTCTCTACTCTCTCTCTCTTGTCTCTCTCTCTCTGGTCTCTCTCTGATCTCTCTCGCTGGTCCCTCTCTCTCTCTGGTCTTTCTCTCTTGTCTCTCTCTGGTCTCTCTCTCTGGTCCCTCTCTCTCTCTCTCTGATCTCTCTCTCTCTCTCTCTGATCTCTCTTTGATCTTATGTTATTTTGACATTATCGGACAGTTTTAGAAGTGTTGTGTTGACCTTTGGCATCAGTACAGATTGGTAAAATGTAGGAGCCCCATTCATTACCGACATTGAAGCTCCGTCAAAGGGAAATATTTACTTTTGGTGCCAACTGTGACTCTTAAAACACACATTAATAAAAAGTTTGGGACAGGCAGCGTAAATGTAATTGGGGATCAGGTCAGGGTTTGTGTTAGACTCACCTCCTGCTGGACCAAATACCAAGATTTTAGTGACACCCCCGCAAATAGTAAATGTTAAACTTTACCAATAAACTTGTAATTGTAGAGCGTCTTTTCTACACACGACAACACATTAAAATCTACATAAACATAAAAAAATACAATTAAAATCCCACAAGGCGATGAAAACAAACATTAGGATCACAAGAAATATAAAAAATAAAACCACACAAAAGAAATTAAAAACATTAACACAATTAAAATCATAAATAGCCACAATGCATTCAAAAAGTAAAAGATATATTCAATCAATCAATCAATCAAGTTTATTTATAAAGCACAATTCATGCAGTGCAGCCCAAAGTGCTTCACAAGAACACAAGATCATACACATTTACAAACATTTTAAAACACATAAAACGTAATATAAAATAATAACAAAAGCAATAATAATTGTTGCATAAAAATAAACATTTCAAACTGAATTTCAGAATTAAAAACGGTATAAAAAGCTCAATATATAAAAGTCAGTCATATACACAGCTAAAAAGAACGGTTTTCAGCTTAGACTTAAATAATGCTAAAGATGAGGCCTCCCGTACATCCTCAGGAAGGCTGTTCCAGATTTTTGGGGCATACACCTGAAATGCAGCCTCTCCATGCCTAGTCCGGACTCTGGGCACCATCAGGAGTCCAGTCCCTGTGCTCCTCAGAGTCCGAGTTGGCTCATACGGCACCAACATGTCACCAATGTACTTCGGTGCAAGACCATGGAGAGACTTGTACACAAGCAGAGCTGCTTTAAAATCAATTCTCTGAGCCACAGGAAGCCAGTGCAGAGACCTGAGGACCGGACTAATGTGGTCGTACTTCCTGGTTCTAGTCAGGACTCGAGCTGCTGCATTTTGAATATACTGCAGCTGTTTTACAGCCTGTTTGGACAGACCTGTGAGCAGGCCATTGCAGTAGTCTAACCTACTGGAGACAAATGCATGGATAAGTTTTTCCATATCTGATTTAGACAACATATTTTTAATTTTGGCAATATTTTTTAGATGATAGAAGGCTGCTGATGTTATAGATTTTATGTGCCTATCAAATTTAAGGTCAGAGTCCATTACTACCCCAAGATTTCTTACTTCATGTGTTGGTTTCATTCATTACAACTTGAAAAAACTGCGGCTTGCATTCAACCGCGTTCAATGTGTCCATTTTCTTCCGCTTCATCCATTGCCGGGTTGCGGGATGCAGCGGAAGACTTTGTACATGCTCTCTAAGTCTATATTTCCATTTAACATGGAACTACAAATAGACAGAACCACTGTTTTAAATGAGTGATAAATATACTTAAATTGACTCCAGCAATATGTTCATTACTTACACACTGCGGGACTTTTGCAAATCTATTCCAATGTGGTTTTACTGCAAATGGAAAATAAATGAATCTGAAATACGTTTTCCAATGTATCTCTATGAACATGTTGCCCCACTGCCTCTAATCTCTGATCTCCATGGTAACAGCCCTCTTCAGTCTCTACAGGACCATCACATCAGACCGACCATGGCTCTGGAGAGTGCAGGACCATTGACCCATTGACTGTTTTTGGCCTTGGACAAGACACTTAGCCCCTTGTCTCCCGTTAAGAACACTTCATAAATGCGTGTTTGGTTGGACGAGTGGGTTCTTCACATAGACTGAGCGGGAAGTGCTTTAGGAATGTGGCGTTTTGTCTAAAATCGTCTAAATTAAGATTGTATATGTCACTTTTTATTCAACGTAGACTAAGAGACGAGGGGAGAGCTCATGGACAACGTTTTGTTCCGACTCGATCTGGCTCCTGTTGACGTACATTAAAAAGTAAACTCCTCTAGCTCAGTAAGTGCTGAATGAAGGCCTCTGATTGGTCAATCCGTATAAGACGATGTCACAATATACAGTATAAACACTGGGATCATAGAGAGGGATAAACTGAATGGAGAATGTGATACAAACAGTTTACCAGAGTAAGTCTATGGGAGTCTATAAGTTGGAGCAAAACTTTGTCCATGAGCGCTTCCCTAATATTTTGAAAATCTGGTTATTTTGTCCCACAGGAGGCGAGCCAAACCCTCTCTCTCTAGTCTGTCTCTGGTGTATCTACGATCTTTAATCTCTCTCTGGTTTCTCTCTCTAGTCTCTCTCTCTCTCTTTCTCTCTCTCTGGTCCCTCACTTGTGTCTCTCTCTGGTCCCTATCTTATCTCTCTCTGGTCTCTCTCACTAGTCTCTCTCTCTGTCTCTCTCTCTCTCTCTGGTTTCTATTTCTGGTCCCTCTCTTGTCTCTCTCTGGTCTCTCTCTGGTCTTTCTCTAGTCTCTCTCTTGTCTATCTCTGCTCTCTCCCTCTAGTCTGTTTCTATCTGACCATCAACTATGGTCTCATTGATGTTGAGCTAGCGGGTTAGCACTCCCAGGGAATATACAGTATCTAACACAAGAGTCAACAAATGTTAATAAAACGTCAACATAGATTTAAGATCCAGGCAAGACTAAAAACAAAATCCGCATAAATCACCAAGTGTCTTTTTGGGGAAGCTATTTGGGTCATTATTTTATTTGCCAGGTTCTTGCTCATGAATTGTGCAAAAGTTAGTCCAAAATAGTCTTTGCGTAACGCTACAGCTAATTATAAGAAACTGACCTTCCAAATATGGTAATAGTTTCGGGCTCCACAAACTTTTCCAATTTCTTTTTTCTGTTGTGAGACCAGAGCTGTCCCACAACCTCAGGCCTTCAACAATCTCCAATCCTTTTCTTCGTAATCCTTCGTTATCAATGCAATTCTACAGGAAGAAAGGGGGAAGGAATAGGGCGCGACGCAGCCACTTTGTAAACGGCTCCATTCGATTTTATTCTCCAGATTACATGAATCCATCTATATGCTAAAGAGAGGACCGGGGATTTTTGTAATAACAACAACAGCCGCTTGATGGAAGTTAAGAATCTGTTGTCACAAAACTTGACTTTTTTCCCAGAGTCGTGTTTCCGGTTCAGGGTCTGATCACAACATCACAATATTTAAACACCAGGAGCATAGAGAGGGTTAAACTGAAGCCCTCTCTGTCACAAAGTCCTACAGGAGCCAGAGCCAGTTGGAGCGTCACTTTGTCCATGAGCACTTTCCTAATATCTTCAGGGCTTACAAAAATCTTGGTGTTTCGTCCCACAGGAGGCGAGCTAAACCCTTACCTCATCAACAATCTGGTCTCACTTTTGTCTCTTTGGTCCCTCTCTGGTCTCTTTCTGGCCCCTCTCTCTCTGGTCTCTCTCTCTGGTTTCTCTCTGGTCTCTCTCTCTGGTCTCTCTCTGGTCTCTCTCTGGTCTCTCTCTGGTCTCTCTCTGGTCTCTCTCTGGTCTCTCTCTGGTCTCTCTCTGGTCTCTCTCTGGTCTCTCTCTGGTCTCTCTCTGGTCTCTCTCTGGTCTCTCTCTGGTCTCTCTCTGGTCTCTCTCTGGTCCCTCTAGTTGTATTCTCCAGATTACATGAATCCATCTATATGCTAAAGAGAGGACGGGGCTTTTTGTAATAACAACAACAGCCTCTTGATGGAAGTTAAGAATCTGTCACAAAACTTGACTTTTTCCCAGAGTTGTGTTTTCGGTTCAGGGTCCGGTGGTTTTGTGTTCAGGCGTCACACTCACGGAAGCAGCTTGTTTCCGAGAGACATTGATCTACTTTGCGCCTCCACAACATACATGAAAGAGAGAGAGATAGAGAGAGAGAAAGCAAATTAAGAAACAGGGAAGATATCATTATGAAAAAGCGTGTGTGTGTGTGTGTGTGTGTTGTGTGTGCGTGTGTGTGTTGTGTGTGTTTGTGTGTGTGTGTGTATGTTACAAAGACAACCACATTATCTTTGTTTTGTCTTTCTTGCTGTGTGTCCTCTCTCTGCCTTTTTTCTGTATCTGATCTCTCTCTCTGGTCCCTCTCTCTCTCTCTTTCTCTGGTCTCTTTCTGGTGTCTCTCTGACCTCTCTGGGCTCATTCTAGTTTCTCTCCCTGGTTTCTTTCTGGACTTTCCCTGGTCTCTTTTTGATCTCTCTCTCTGGTCTCTCTCTCTGGTCTCTCTCTCTCCCTGGTCTCTCTCCCTCTCTGGTCCCTCTCTTTCTCTGGTCTCTCTCTCTCTCTGGTCTCTCTCTCTCCCTGGTCTCTCTCCCTCTCTGGTCCCTCTCTTTCTCTTGTCTCTCTCTCTCCCTGGTCTCTCTCTCTCTCCCTGGTCTCTCTCCCTCTCTGGTCCCTCTCTCTCTCTGGTCTCTCTCTCTCTCCGGTCTCTCTCTTTGTGTGTGTCTTCCTCGCCCTGCGTCTGCTGTATCTCCCTTATTTGTTTTTTCTAAAATACTGTATACCATAAACAGCACTTCTTAACAAAACAAGACAGAAACAACCATCGACTTGTTCAACTCTGACTCTGCGGCACTTTGTAACCATTGTTTTTTATAAAGCGCCGTACAAATAAAAACTAATTATGACTATAACGAGGGATACTGAGTCGCGAGTCGCTCGGAGCAATCTGCACAGCCTCAGCACGTCCACAGCCCTCTCTGTATAAACACAGCCCTACCTTATTTTAGCTGGCTGTCTCATAAAGCTATTTTAAACTTCCTGGAATGTATTGATGTTTGCCTGAAATAAGTGTTGGTTGTAAAACGCGACAAAAGACCCGCACAACAGGAGCTGGAGGATTAAACCGGCTTTGACCAAATTAGCCCTACTTCGACAGATGGCGTTTGGTTAAATATTTATTTCTAGTCAGATTCATCATATTGATAGCTGCGTTCTGCATTCGGGAAACTTCCAGGACCACTTCTGCTGTGAGTTATACCAGTCGAAGGTTTCTGGTCTTCATGGTACGTGACTCCTCTGGTGTTTGTACCTGTGTGTTTGCCGCACTCTCATTTCAGGAACTAGATTTGTAAATGAAAATAAGACAGTTTATTGTAAGGTACACGAGACCGTAACGGCACCAGAAGCTCTGAGGACGTTGGCATTCAATAAATCATGTTTTCGGGTCTAACTAAAATCTTGGTATTTACAGTGGTCCCGGAGGAGGCGAGCCAAACCCTTACCTCATCCAGAATCTGAAATCTCTCTCTGGTATCTCTCTCTCTCTCTGGTCTCTCTGCTTCCTCTCTCTGGTGACTCTGATTTCTCTCTGGTCTCTCTCTGGTCTCTGCTCTCTGGTCTCTCTCTGGTCTCTCTCTGGTCTCTCTCTGGTCTCTCTCTGATCTCTCTCTGGTCTCTCTCTGGTCTCTCTCTGGTCTCTCTCTGGTCTCTCTCTGGTCTCTCTCTGATCTCTCTCTGGTCTCTCTCTGGTCTCTCTCTGGTCTCTCTCTCTCTGACCATCAACTGTGATCTCATTAATTTCCCATTCACAAATGTCTAGAATATTCAAAAACAAATACAATCAATACATTGAATTATATGACAGCTTTGTGAACCTAATCTCCATCACCTGCATCGTTCCCGTAGAGTTGGCACCTTCTGAAAAACTGGCATCGAATCCTAGAAAAAGAGCACCACCGCTTACACAACAAACATCCCTCCTCAATTATCTCTGTAATTCTAAAAAGACAAAGCAATTTGTTGTTAGCAGTCGTAAACAGAGACACATGGAGGCTCTCTCTCTGGTGCCATTTGGTGTTTGTATCGGGGCTTAAGTGTCCGCCTGTTTCCCGTGGGCACATTTGGTCATAGTTGGCGGGCGGCACGGTGGCTGAGTCAGCAAGAAGATCCTGGGTTCGAATCCCGGTCGGAACAGGGCCTTTCTGAGCGGAGTTTGCATGTTCTTCCCGCGTCTGCGTAGGTTTTCTCCAGGTGCTCCGGTTTCCCCTACCACGAAAAACATGTACAATAGGTATGAATGTAGTGAGTGAGTGACTGGGTGGTGTTTGATCGGAGGCTTTGATGGACCAGTGTGTTCGGCGTCTCGCTTCCGTCATCATCGTGTGTGAATGGGAAAAATATCTGTAAATGTGGGAGGTGGGGGTGATAGTAAATGGAGGGGAGGGGGGGGGTGTCAGAATGTGATGTTAAATTTAGCTACAGTTTTGTTACTCTGTTATAACATATGATTGGTATATTTGTACAGTATTCATAATGCACATGTACTGGTAAAACTAAAAACAAAATTAGAATAAAATTGAGAGAAAGAAAGGAAAAATATTTGACCTCTGAACATTGTAAAGAGCTTTGGGTGACCTTGGTCTGTAAAATGCGCTATATAAATAAACACGACTCACTTCCATGTTTTCCCGGATCCCACGTCTGTCTGTGCAGTAACTACACGGCGCTGGTGGGAGTGTGGATCTACGGCTTCTTCGTCATGGTGCTCCTGGCTCTGGACTTTCTCTACTACTCGGCCATTAACTACGAGCTCTGCCGGGTGTACCTGGAGAGGTGGGGGCTGGGGGGCAGGTGGCTGAAGAAGGCGCGCAGTCAGTGGCATCAGTCCATGCCCGAGGAGAGCGACACCCAGGGGCCCCTGCAGCCTGCGGGCCCCGGACTCTACCAGCACAGACACAGCCTGAGGGGGGAGAGCCACACCCCCACGCTGCTCCCACACAACGCATCCAACGCATGGTAAGAACTCACTCATCAGTCATCACACTATAAACACCAAATTCTCTTTAATCTAGAGTTTTTAAATCTAATTCAGTGTGAACGTAGCGTACCGTAGCGCTGATGCGTCTGTTCACTTCATTTCAGCCACAGGAGTTCAGTAAATCTGAGGTACTGAAGCTGCGATGGTGAAACACGCAGGCAGAAGTGGTGGGCGGGGCTTTGATGCTAACTTAAGCTAGGAGATTTTTGTGTAAAGTTCTGCCTGGGTCCAGGGATCTTCCAGAGACATCAGATTACAGCCGTAGTTTCTCACAGAGCTGCGCCATACATTCATTATATCATTAACCGGTACTTCCGTATCAGTGAACACATTAGCAGCTCTTTTTCATTTCATTCATAGATGTGACAGAGGCCGACCCTACATGCATATGACAAGTCGTGATAGAAGCAAACTGTTATGAGAGTGAAAGTAGTCCGGTGGTTTTAAAGTTAGATTCACCAGCTTTAAAGTAGTACTAGAATTTAATATGCTGCTATCCAGAATACATAACTACAATATGTGTTTATAATATTTTGGGTGTTCATTTTGACATGTTCAGATGAATTATGTTAAAAAACGACTTTGAAGTGGCACCTTTAAAACAACGCTAGGGGGCGCCAAAATGGCGGCGATGACGTAGGAGAAGGCCATCTCACAGCAGCAGCAGCAGTCTGGGCTGAATCTGTAGGAGGTTTCAGTGTCATCTGAACAAGGTATAAACATATTTTCATCCGTTTTGTACATAATAGTGTGCAACTCTTTTAACCTTTTAGCCTTATCTGTGAGATTCAAGCTAATTAGTGTTGGGCAAGTTAGCTAACTCTACTTGATATCACAAAACATGCTAACAAGGCTAATATTCGTTTTTACATTGTGCCAGTCTCACTTTGGTTGCCTTAGATTTATTTACCACAATGTACATTGTAATATCCATAAATGCTAACACCTATTAACGGTTTAATTAGCATTTTTATCAATGATTGCATCACATGTAGTCTATGTTTTCAACTTCTGCAGATTTTTGTTCATAAAAGTAAAATATTTATTTAATTCAAGTTATTTTGATTAGCATTTTTGAATATTACAATATTCCGCCATTTTGGCCCCCCCTAGCGTTTATTAAAAGGTGCCACTTCAAAGCCGTTTTTTTTTTTTTTTTTTCAAATCTTTATTTTCAAATGTTGAGACCAAAAAAATATAGTTGTTACAGATATATACACAGTGTCATCCATTCTCAAACATCTTTTTTTTTTTTTTTTTGAACAAACAAACACGAAAGGGATGCATTTTTATAATAGGATACAGAGAGCAATAATGACAAAAGAAATATACAAAATCACCATCTCAGTCACAAATCATCCATGTTCAACACTTCCAATTGTTGTACTCTATTAATGTATAAACTCCACTTTGACCATATCTTCGAGAAAGAATGCATTTGTAGGTGGATTGAAAATGTAAGTTTCTCCATCTGAAATATACCGTTTACAGAATCTGTCCAGTTTTCTAGACTCGGAGGAGCAGGGAGGAGCCAGTGTCGGGTAACAGCTTTTTTGGCAGCGGTTATTAAAATTTGAAATAGGTATTTGTCGTTGTATTTTAATCGTGTATTCCCCAATATCAAGCTAGAGAATTCAAAGGGAATACTCTCGTTGAATACTGATTCTATACCTTTGTGAATATCCCTCCAAAATTGTTTTATGTTCGGGCAGTCCCAAAATATGTGCCAGTGGTTGGGTTCCTGGTCACCGCATTGCCTCCAGCACCGAGGCTCATCTCCGCCCCCACGGACCTTCTGTTTTGGAGTAATAAAAAATCTGATCAGACACTTCCAGCCAAACTCTCTCCATGTATGAGAGTTTGTGCATGTCCACAATGATGCACAGTAACCCCGCCATTCTTCACCGGTTATAGATATATTACCTTCGTTCTCCCATTTTTCCTTAACATACTGAGTTGAATATAACTTTTTGTTCATAAAGCCTTTGTAAAGCCGAGAAATTATTCCTTTTTTAGATTTTGCTTTGTATGAGGTTAATATTTCGTGAAGCACAGGTTCTTTTATGTCGCACCCACTGAGAATTTCCTGATTCATGTAGTTACGCAACTGTAAATATCTATAGAAATCTTGTTTTTTCAGATTATGATTATTCTTGAGGGTTTGAAAGTCTTTCATTATACCCTTTTCTGTTAAGGAGTAGTGAGTGGTCAGACCCTGGGGTACCCATGTGCGGAAGCCCAGATCTATTGGATTGGGCTTAAAGTCAGGATCATAAGGATCCATCTCACAATTTTAAGGTTATTGTGTAGTTTATATTCCTCTTTAGCCTGTGACCATGTTTTCAGTTGTGCAACAAGCCAGGGGTTTTTAACATTATTTAATATTTTTACTATATTCTTATTTCCTAGTATGGCCTGTAGTGGTGGATCAGACACAAGGGATGTCTCAATGTCCTTCCATCGAGCATGATAGTTCGGGTTACAGATATTTATGAGCGGTTTAATTTGTGCCGAATAAAAATAGTCTCTTAGGTCAGTTACTGCCATTCCTCCTTTCTCTTTAGGAAGTTGTAATGTTCTGAATCTAACTCGTGGTTTTTTCCCCAGCCAAATGAATCTTGAAATTAATTTATCCCCGTGTGAGAACTGTTGTTTTGTAATCTCAGCGGGCAATGCCTGGAACAAAAAAAGAAACCTTGGGAGCAGGTTCATTTTCACTGTTTCAATTCTCTGGGTTAGGCTCATGAAAGGAATGGCAGTCCACTTCTGTATGTCAGTCTTTATTTTTGAAATCAGGCCCTCATAATTGTGATTGGTTATTGTTGCAATATGCTTGGGAATAAAAATTCCCAAGTATTTTATTGTGGTTAAATCCCATTTAAGTTTTATTTCCTCACGCAGTAGGTTTGGGGGAGTAAAATTTAGGGTCATTATCTGAGTTTTACTCACATTAAGTTTGTATCCTGTATAGCGCCCAAATGTTTTTAAGCAATGGAATAGTTTAGGCAACGATTTACATGGCTCACTTAGGTAGACCAAGACGTCATCTGCATAGAGCGCCACCTTGTGGACATCCCCAGAAATAGGTATTCCTTTTATTTCATCATTTTGTCTGATCATTTGAGCAAGAGGCTCTATAAAGAGAGCAAACAGGAGAGGAGAAAGTCCACATCCTTGCCTAGTACCCCGTTGTAGTTCAATTGTATTTGACAGATGGCCATTCATTTTTATACGTGCTGTTGGTTTTGTGTGTGATTCTATTATTTTTATAAAATTGTCATGAAACCCAAATCTTTCCAGAACTCTATAAAGAAAGCACCAGCTTACAGAGTCGAAAGCTTTCTCCGCGTCAAGACTGACCACTGCCGCCTGAATTTTATGTTCCTGAATATGATTCACAATGTGTAGGGTACGTCTTATATTATCGTGTGTCTGCCTCTCTGCAATGAAGCCTGTTTGATCAGTATTGATAAGTGTGGGTAATATGGTTTCCAATCGCTTTGCTATTATTGAAGTGAATAATTTGTAGTCAATGTTGAGGACTGATATAGGTCTGAAGGAGCCGCAGCTGAGTGGGTCTTTTCCTTCTTTTGGAATAACAGAAATGGTGGCTTGTTTCCATGAAGGTGGCATTCTACCCTCCTTTAATGTTGCATTCATTACTTTGGTTAAGAATGGTAACAATTCAGATTTAAATGTTTTATACCATTCTGACGGAAAGCCATCTGGCCCAGGTGATTTATTAACCTTTAGTCTTGACACTGCCTGCAGCAGTTCCCCTTCTGTAATCTCAGTTATGAGAGATTCATTTTGACTTTTTGACAGAGTTGGCAAAGTAAGTTGAGATAATAAAGAACGAATTTGTTTTGCATTTTTTAAATGTATACAACTGTGTGTAGTAATTCAAGAAGATTTGTTGGATTTCACTTGTTTTGTAAACACATGTTTTAGAAAGTGGGTCTTTAATTTTATATATAGTATTATCTGCTTGCTGCTTTTGCAGTTTACTCGCTAATAATTTGGCAAATTTGGCACCAGACTCGTAGTATTTTTGCTTTGTGTACATCATCTTCTTTCGAATGTCCAGTAGATATGTAGCATTTATTTTATTTCTTAAAATTTTTAATTTGACATTGTCATCTGGATTCAGACTTTTTTTATGTTCTGTCTCAAGTTCTTTTAACTCCTTATTTAAGTTCCACAATTTGGTTTGTCTCTCTTTCTTTTTATGTGCACAGAAAGAAATGATCTTGCCTCTCATTACTGCTTTTAGTGTGTCCCAGACAATTTCATCACCAACTTCTCCATTGAGATTTATCTCCAAAAATGATTTTATATCAGATTTAACGCTTTTAGTCAGATGCTGATCATTTAGAATGTGTGTATTTAGCTTCCATAGGAGGTTTTTGGGTTCATTACCTAGTTCCACTGTTAATATTATTGGTGCGTGATCTGAAATGTCTATATTTCCGATCTCCACCTTCTGTATTCTATTGCGGTCTCTCTTAAAGATAAAGAAGTAATCAATTCTAGAATACACTGTATGGGAATGAGAGTAATGTGTATAATCTTTACTTGTTGGGTAGAAATCTCTCCAGATATCTATGATCCCATGGTGCGACATCAATATTTTCATTTTCTTCTGTATGGAATTTTGGGGGATTAGCCTTGATGCGTCAAGCCTTGGGTTTAGTCTTATGTTCCAATCCCCGCCACATATAAGCACACCACTTGCCTGTGTCATCAACTCAATAAGTTTCCTATAAAAGGAAAAATCGCTGCCTGGGGGGACATAAGCATTTAGTAACGTTATCACTGTTCCGTCTATTTTGCCTGATATTAAAGAGTAGCGTCCTTCTTTGTCTATATTCTCAGAAAGAAGCTCAAATGGTACATTGTGAGATATTAAAGTGGCTACCCCCCTTCTATGGCCAGATTTATAGGATGAATAGTATACTTTGGAAAATCCCATTCTTTTCAATTGTTCATGTTCAGTTGGACTCAGATGTGTTTCCTGTAGCATAGCAATTTGAACGTTATCTTTTTTTAGCTTGGATAATATTTTACTCCGTTTAATTGAGTTAAGAACACCGTTTACATTGTACGATGCAAGTCTTATAGTATTTTTCATGGTGGTATCCAAAATGGTCTCTCAATACAATAGTCATTAATACTGTGCATCCCTTTAACAATAGAACAATTAACGAAAAAAGAACAACAACATAACATTGACATCTCAGTAAATACTGAAACCATAATAGTCTGTTGCTGGGAGTGTGCCTCCTGGATAGAGGTCCTGAATAGAACCTTCAGGGAGCTCGAGATTTTAGAGCTCCCAACAGGGGAAAGCCTGCTCACTTCAAAGAGCAGGGCCCAGTAAGATGGCTGTGCCGTGTCTGTTAGCATAGTGTGTAGTCCGACTGTTTAATAACCTAATAAAATAAAGGAGTCAAAGAGTTGGGGCGTGTACACAACAGTTTCTACCTTTCTCCCGATCACTTATCTGTAGGTGGATTTCGCCTGAATTCCCGCAGCTTTTCAATAAACGGTCTTTGAATGAGCCGGCTTGTCAGAGTCGGTCCGGTGCCTGAAGGAGGGGGTGTGCTGGTTCGGTCTCCGGGGGTCGCCTGCCACGATGAGAGCCGCTGTAACTCGCGCTGGTAGGGATCGACGGTAGACGGGATCACGGTCACCGGGAGTCCTCTTGCAGACATGTCCACTGTCGCCTCCGCCGCGCTCTGATACAAGCGGGTCTCCTCGTTATAAAACACTCATTTTTGCGGGATAGGGAGTTTGGAACTTTATATTGTGCTCTTTGAGGACTCTTTTGGCCTGGTTGTATTCGGTGCGTTTCTTTAGAATCAGCGGAGGGTAATCATGGTCAACGTAGAATCGCGTGTCCTTGTACATCACTTGTTTCTTCTGCCAGGCAATCCTTATAACTACTTCCTTGACCCTGTAGCTGGAAAACTTGGCTATGATTGAGCGTGGCCGTGTCTGTCCTCCAGCAGGTTTCGGGGCCAGGGCTCGATGTGCCCTTTCTATCTTTAAATCAGTTTCAGGCGGAAAAGCGAGAGAATCACGAAGCATATTTTCCAGAAAAACAATAATATTAGTGCCCTCCGCTTCCTCTGGGATGCCGTATATGCGGAGGTTATCTCTCCGTGCGCGGGCCTCCTGGTCAGTGAGCTTAGCCTCCATGGTGTCTTGCCGCGCTAGCAGTTGCTTTATGAGCGTCGATGTTGCTCCCAGCGCCGTTTCCACTTCATCAATTCGTGCTTCGGCTTGTGTCACTCTGACGTCCGTCTGTTGTTGGTTTCTTTGAATTTCAGAAAATTGTTCCTTGTTTTTGTGTCTAAAGTCTTTGAGCTCCCGGAGAATGCTAGCTAGGCTAACTGGATCATCTTCGTCGTCCTCCTCCTCGTGTGAGGGCGAGTTCTCCTCGTTATCCCCCACCATTTCGTCAAAACGTTGAGTCGTACCCACAGCTCTACTCCTTCTTGACTTACCCCCAGGCATTTCTTCAAAACTGATTAATTAGTACTAAGTACCAAACTTTTGGGGTATTTTATTCAAAACCGTCGGAGAGCCCAAAAGCTAAACTGCCATCTTGGATGCTACCCGGAAGCCCCCCTCAAAGCCGTTTTTTAAATATAATTCATCTGAACATGTCAAAATGAACACCCGAAATATTATAAACACATATTGTAGTTATATATTCTGGATAGCAGCATATTAAATTCTAGTACTACTTTAAGTAGTACTCTATTTTGCGTTTATGTGCGATTGATACAATATCTTTGGCTTTTTAGTGGCTACAATTCACAAGTAAGACTATGGTTTGCTACCTGTAGGGCTTTGAGTTTACTTTTTAATGTAGGTCAACAGGAGCCAGAGTGAGGTCGAGCAAAACTTCACCATGAGCACTTCCCTATTGGCCTTCATTGAGCTGCATTGAGTCAGCATTGTCCATCTGTAACAGTCTTTGGTCCGGACGCCTCTGCTCTCTGTCTCCTGCCCGATGATGGAGGAGGGCTCTGTGCTGGAGGTCCCAGTCGCAGGGACAGGGCTGTTCATGCAGTCGCCTCATTCTTCTTGTCATTCATAAATAATGATCAGTGTCTAATTAGCCGGGAAAACTCCGAGGAAAGAGTCAGAGGAAAGACTCCGAGGAAAGACTCAGAGGAAAGAGTCGGAGGAGATCGTGTGAAGAGGAGCCAGGGCTGGAGATTTGCACAATGGAAAAGTACGGATAACCGGGAGTTTGGAAGATTGGCTTTGGGCTGGTTTTGGTTTTATTTAACAAGGTTACCATGTATTGATTTTGAGAGAGGAGCAGTGCAGGAAAAGGTTTTGTCTTGGAGAAATATGGTAATCAAGAAAAATGATGCAGTCATTTAGACACAAGATTGCAAAGGAAATATGCCGAGGCTTTTTCTTCTGGAGACTACATAAGAGAATGGGACAAAGTATCAGTAAGAGGCAGAAGAAGATTTGATTTGATTATTGATTAGACCAAATTAGTAATTGTTGGGGTTACATTCAATAAGCAAAATCTTTGAAGTAACAGTTGTATGTTTTAAAAGTTTCTTTGACTTTTCTGTATGATGCTTTGAACATTATTGAAGTTGCTTGAGATTCCCTCCAGCTTTAGTGAGAGAGCCATCTTTCTCTTTCATACTGGAGAAGAAACAAAATTCCTCGGGTTAAATTGACCACCGGTTGTAAATGGTTTTTAGTGGTAGGGGAAACCGGAGCACCTGGAGGAAACTGGAGCACCTGGAAGAAACCTACGCAAACACAGGGAGAATATGCAACAAGATCCTTCCCATCAGCTCTAAATCTTCTGTCCCCCAGCCCGACTGTGTGGACTTAGACTTAGAAGAGGCACCTTCAACTCAATTCCATTTATGTGTGGGTGTATCTGAATCACAACAGCAGGACTTTACAAAGTTGTGGATTCGCCAACAACAGATCAGAGAATCAAACAAAGACATGCAATAATAACAAACACACAAGAGCCATTGGTCCATAGGGAGATCCAGGACTGAGGCTGTAGATCCAGGACTGAGGCTGTAGATCCAAGACTGAGGCTGTAGATCCAAGACTGAGGCTGTAGATCCAAGACTGAGGCTGTAGATCCAGGACTGAGGCTGTAGATCCAAGACTGAGGCTGTAGATCCAAGACTGAGGCTGTAGATCCAGGACTGAGGCTCCCTGGGCGGAGAGAGGGATGCAGCCTACAAATCCAGGCCAGGGGAGACCAGCGGGTAAATAGCAATGAACAGACTACAGCTGAAGTAATGTACTGAGTTCAAGAGGACTTTTTTTAAGCCTGGTTTATGTTTAAGACTGTTTTTAAACATAAAGACTGCAGAGACAGGAATGAAAGAGACCTCTGTCCGTCTAAAACCCTCCTCTCTAAAAGAATCCCTCTGGAGTCCTCATTACTCACGAAGAACGCTGAGTTTGAGAGGTCGCATCCATCATCTCATCTCCGGAAACAAGAGGTCGTCCCTGAACCCTGGAAGACACGCCGCGCTCGGACTGCGGGAGCACGGAATTTTATGCTAATACAAGCGGCTGATGAGCGATGATCCGAAGCCTCGACCCAGAAAATACAGTGAAAAGTAAAGAGGAATTTCTGCGGCTATAAAAACCCGCGGGATAGAACCAGGCATTTACTCCGACAGCGCAGACAATTCCTCTTCAGTAATATATCTGACGGATTCAAGACCTAATTTCAAAGACTTTTCTGGGGCAGGATTTCAGCTCCTTCTCACACAGATCTGCAGAAGGAATATCGGTCTTTTTTAAAAACGTGTTGTGGCGTTTGTTTTTGCATGTAGCCCACACAAGTGACACGTAGAGAAAGTGTGTAATAAATAAAGCATATATTAAGAAGGGGTTGGAGTGCTCTGCGTTAAGAAAACTCATTGATTTCTGACAGAGGTGCGATTTTGGTCTGGGGCCGATTTTTTTCATTTTTTATGAGAGCTTCTTGGGGTCAATAAAAAGTTTTGGCCGTATGTACAGTATGCTCTAGCAATAACTTCATGTAACCGCTGGAAGACAAAGACAGAAGAAAGCGTTTGTGGTTTTTAAGCACTGCAGTGATTAGATCAGAGGAGAGAGAGAGAGAGAGAGAGACCAGAGAGACCAGAGAGGGACTAGAGAGAGAGAGAGACACCAGAGAGGGACCAGTGAGAGAGACCAGAGAGAGAGAGACCAGAGAGAGAGACCAGAGACACCAGAGAAAGAGGGACCAGAGAGATGACAGTTGTTCATGCGATTAGTTCAGAGGACTTCCCTTAAAACTTAGTCTTGCTCCTGCCCCTCAGTGCGTGGTGTATGCACAGCTTTTGACAGCTGCAGCAGCGCTCAGACATTAATGAAAAGAGAGAGCTCTAAACACAAGATTTCTTTAAGCCCAAAATGATTGAGTGTAAAAAAAAGGAGCCAGAGCAAATCAGAGCAAAACTTTGTCACAAGCACTTCTCTATCGGGCTTCATCGAGTTAGCGGGTTAGCATTCTGTCTGTGTATCAGTCCGGTAAAGTTTCATTGTCTGTGATCCCATTAGGCCTCGGCTCTAAACTCCACTAAAGTGTGTTTTGAGAGAGCCATTAATGTGCAGAATCCTAGAAAGAGTACTTTAGCTCCGCTCCTTAAAAGGCAATCCACCGTTTCCAGGAAGATCCATTATGGGATCAGTCGCTTCAAAAGTAAGATCTCTGGGGACATTATGAAAGAAACTATCCAATCTATTTTCACCATGGCAACTTTAACATTAACAAGGAGAAAGCATAGAATTCACAAATTTCAACCAATATACAGTGCCTGATACTCCTTCCATTTCAATATAATTGCTTGCACAGTGCTTCTTGAGATGTTTAAAGCTTGGGAAATCTTTTTGTATCCAAATCCGGCTTTAAACTTCTCCACAACAGTATCTCGGACCTGTCTGGTGTGTTCCTTTGTCTTCATGGTTCTCTCTGCGCTTTAAACAGAACCCTGAGACTATCAAAGAGCAGGTGCATTTATACGGAGACTTGATTACACACAGGTGCATTCTATTTATCATCATCAGTCATTTAGGACAACATTGGATCATTCAAAGATCCTCACTGAACTTCTGGAGTGAGTTTGCTGCACTGAAAGTAAAGGGGCCGAATAATATTGCACGCCCCACTTTTCAGTTTTTTATTTGTTAAAAAAGTTTAAATTATCCAATAAATTTTGTTCCACTTCACGATTGTGTCCCACTTGTTGTTGATTCATGACCGAATACTTTCGCAAGGCACTGTAATACCTACATTTTAATAATTATCAAAAGTTAGGTATCCAAGCTTTAACTTCAACATTAATATTGTAGAATCTCATTATTATTAACTTTATCATGCTAAAACTAGAGATTTTATACTAGCTTCTTTATTATGCTAAAGCTAGAGATTTTATACTAGCTTCTTTATTATGCTATGTTCTTTTGTGCTGTGTTCTCCGTATTCCTACTGTTCTGAAACTGGTGATGCAACACTGGAATTTCCCCAATGTGGGAGAAATAGTTAGTTAGTTTAGTTAGTTAGTTTATTTTTTTCTTCGGTCAATATGTACACCCGACCTCGGGTCACACGGATACAGAGCTCACATTTACTTTTTACAAGAAAATAAAAATAAAGAATCTCTTAATCTTAGCATTAAATCGGTTAGAATGATGACATTATAATCATTATGCTGAAATAGAAGTCGACTTTATTAATACTGCTGTAGGAAACCAAAACGTCTTCTCAGATAAATCCAGTCCTTTGCTTCAGCCTGTGTTGAAAATATAAAAAAAACAAGATGAATATTCTTGTCGTGCAAATTTAAAACCGCACGATGTGAGAGTGGAGTAGCCATTAGCCAATTCCAATATTTCACAAACAGCACATCAAAAGAAAGATTTTGGCAACCAGAAAACGGCCTGGCACAAATTAACTGTGAAATGGTGTCCACCTACTCAAGGCTGTGCGCTCATGGGCTCGCGTCCCTCCCACCACTGAAACCAAAGTGGATTTAATCTTGTTTTGCTAATTTGTCTTGTTTCTTCCCAGACCTCTTATTACTGCAGACGAGCCACTGGAGCTGCAACCGGTCACACACTTATTCCGTGTATCTTTCGTGCTAGAATAAACGTCTAGCTTTTCTATGCTAAAGTTAGAGATTCAGTTTGGTCGGACTCTAAAAACTTGAAATTAGTTAGTATAAACTGATAATACATAGATTAACTGATGTGTGTAGAGATCTGGAAAAAAAAATATTGGGTTTCTTTGCTGGGCCCCCCTTTAACCCCCAAAAACGACATACATACACATTTTGTTTTCAGAGTTGCGGTGGCCGTTTATTTCACGTATTGTAATCAATATACAGTAAACCTCAGCCCTAACTGCGTGGTTTTGCCTTTTTTTTTTTTGCATTCAT